AGGTATGGGAGGTGCTATGGATCTTGTATCCTGTCCATCAAAAGTCATCGTTACCATGGAGCACGAAGCAAAGGTAGGTCTATGCCACSCATTCATCTGCCATAATATTAACAGATTACATTTAAAACTTCTCCACAAGTTGTTGCTGACGTATAAGCTTCTAGTCTCTCTTTACCAAGTGTTTTTTTAGTTGCTTCACAGTAGCATTGTACATACSGAATGCCTACTCCCTTGAAACTTCGGAATTCATCATGAAGTAACATTTCGTGTGATCATGTTTTTCATTGGTATGTTATGTTATAGGGAAATAAACACAAAATCCTGGAAAGTTGTACCCTCCCCCTGACAGGCACAAAATGTGTTAATATGATTATTACAGAGAAGGTATGTATATAAAGCGGTTTGCTTTGAGTGGGACTCCTTTTTGTAAAAAAGTTGACTCTTTTCCCTGGCTCTACACCTGTGTTCGTTGTTGTATAGTTTTAGCTATCACGACACTCAATCAGTCTGACAATATTTTGTTGTGCTGTAGTGTGTATTTGACGTTCATCCTGAAAATGGCTTAACGTTAACGGAATTATGTCCAGGAGTTTCGATTCAAGATATCCAGACTTCAACAGGATGTGGATTCGAGGTAAAGTTTTTATCAAATATAACTTCCAATTAATATAAATTCGCACAGAGAGTCTTATGGACCATGACGATAATTATAATGAAGATACCAGCGCTGTAATGCTTTGAACTGAAGCTTTAACTTTTTCCCCGTAGATCTCCCCTGATTTGAAGGAAATGGAAATCGATTAAGCTGCAATCAATTCGCAGTTACGTGATAGAAATATCACTTCAAATTCTAGTTACAGAATTTGGGACACGAAAGTAACTTATTTTATTATTTGATGTAAATACTCATCTCTTAAACTGTAAAGACACCCTCAATTGGAAGAATAGTTCTGATTTGACACTCGTTTATTAGTTCTCATATACGGAAGAAGTATGCGATTTAATTGTAGTTCTTCTTACACAAGCTGAGTGAAGCTCGATCAGAAGGACTTTTCGCAGTCTTTGCCGGCAACTATTAAGGATACAATGATAGGTAGTGATTTGAGTGCTGAAAAATGCATTTAGACGTAAATCTATTTAAYAATTAGACCTCGAGGTCGAGTGGACTACGAGCTAATAGCCCATGAGGCCCATGAGCCCATGAGGCCTGTTTTAGTATAAACATACTATATCGGTCAAATAATGAAAAAAAATTGAAATATCCTKAAAATGATTTATAAGTTTATAATTTATTTATTTTGATTTTCCCGCGAGTGGTCTATCACAAATTAGACCATTAGTAGAGTAGCCAATCACAGCGCAGTATGAGTGATAGACCATTAGTATGTTTATACTAAAAATGTCTAGTCAAATGTCTAGTCAAAACTAACTAATTTATGAAATTAGCTATAGGGGTGTGTGTTGGGGGTACACTAAACTACAATAAATTACAACATCAGCAATCTAGGATTCTATCAATGTAAACACATCGATATTTAATACAATACGAAATTCATCAAAATGGTCAAATAAGTTATGATTAATCAGTCAAATATATCTTAAACAAAAGAGATAGAGGGATGGGTGTGTTGGTTGCCTATATAATGTTCTTCTATTTTTTTACCAACAGGAGTGTAAAACACGGGTAAATTAAAAAAAGATTGATGAGCTAAAACTGAACAAAAGACATATWTTGGTTATTGTTATTATTCTGTTTCATGCGGGTTTTCGCTAGTGGCCGAATTATTGTCGAATTYAATGTGACAAATATATTTCCCGATCCCTTGTTTTCAATGTTGTCACATTTTACTGTGACTTCTCGAGCATGTTACATGTAAGTTCTGGGTTTTTCGGAAATATTTGAAAAATGATTTCTCAGTCATCATTTAATACACAAAGTTGAAATTTGGTCTTCTATTCATAATTGAGTTTCTCAAAGATTTGGTGGTGATTTTGAAGACAGAAAGTTGTCACGTGACCATTAAGGCCGAAAAATAGAAAATTAATACAATTAAAAATGGGGCGGTTAGAAACCTTTTCTTTTAAAGTAAAAACTATGTTAAAACAATGTGTTCATGCTTCTCTCTCTCATAGCGTTTCATTTGGATGTCCCTCATTCTCTGATTTGGAGAATTTTTATTTATTTTTTATTTAGGTCACGTGACCTGTTTTGCCTTATAACTCGCTTAAGTTTAACAACCAAATGAGGCGAACTTCGAAAGACCTTTGTAATTGCAATCTTTTTACATACTTTTTGATATTCTATAAAATGGTTCTAACCGGCCCATTTTTAAATTTCGACTTTTCGCCTTAACAGTCACGTGACCACTTCACAGTTTTCACCACTAAACCATTGATCAGGCGAAATATGATTTTTGGAACAAATTTTAACTTTGAAGTTGAAAATGCAAGCAAGAAATTATTTTTTGATTAAATCATCGAAATCCCAGGCCTTAACATGCTTGAGTTGTCTTAAGGCCGAATTAGATGACACATCTTTTGCCAACAACCATCGCATGCAACCTGCGTAAGTCATCCTTAGGATATGGCTACAACTGTTGTAGGGCTATTAAGCGATTGTTTAAAATCCCCACAAGAGTTGTAGCTATGTTGTAAGGATGACTTACGCAGGTTTTATGCGATGGTTTTAGGCAAAAGTTGTGCCGTCTAATTCCGCCTTAAGCATGACTGACAATCTATAAACTCACTGCAATATTTTAAGAATGTCTGGCTCACGTTAGAAAAGCGCGGGAATCGTTTATTTTTCCACTTTCAGGTGACCCCCACGTTCTTGTGACTTAGAGCGTATAAGTGGCAAACCGAATGTGTCGTAACTGACTATAACTGTACCGTAACAAAATTGGGATACCGTATCCGATTGATTCTCTANGTGTATTTGGCTTATTTAGGTATAAAGGCATGGGCTATCAGAGTTATTTTGGTCAAATTATCGAGATGAAGCGAGAAATAAAGCATAATTTGATGCTTTGCTGGAGCCGGTCATTCGACAACAAACAGATCACAAGCGAAAGGTTTATCATGCGTTTCAGCTTCTTCCACTTCTTCGAAATCTAGCGAGTCCCATTCCTCGTCGATATCGCTACAGTTTTCGTCATCTTCATCCAATTCTAGTTCCAAACAAAACGATTCATCACTGTCGAAGTCTTCACTCTCGTCCGCCATTTTTGTTATGTCGTGTTGTGACTAGCACTCGACCCAGGAATTACCGAGTGTTTACTGGCCGTTGTCATGGTAAGCCAAAAATCAATTAGCCGCGAAGCGCAACGTTGATTGGAGATAATTTATTAATTTATTCAGTTGCCAGTCCATGTCTTCCCACGTCCCTGCTCAGGCCCAACGTTTGCATTGGTAAATGCGTTCACAAGTTCATTTTCAAGTTCAGAGATATCTTCTACATAGTCCAAACGAACGTCAAATACTGCATCCAAAAGGCGCCATGAACCTGAGGCCATTTTCAAAATCTACGTGAAGTCTGATTGTTGTTGTATGCGGTTTTTCAAAGAGTATATCTGAATGGAGAATAAAAACTAGTGCATATACCGTCAAGATGATCAAAAGATTGGGTCTCGCGGGTGGCCTTCCTTTGATCCTTTGTGACATGTAAGCAATATTGCCGACCATTGAATTTATTAATTCTTATTCGTGTATATATTCTCCAGCATTGATTCCATGGTATCATTCTGGCATTTTAACTATTAGTGTTTCAGTCAAATTCGTTTTTACCGATATGTCTTCAACTACCAGTTCTATTCGTAACTAGCTGAATGTCTTCAAATACGGTTTGTTTTACTTCAGTTGCGACAAAACCATTTGCATCCTCAAACTTGGAAAAATAAGYAAAGTTTTGAACGGGGCAAATACAAAACCAGGAAGCCGGGTTTTAGTGACATATGAAAAGCAAGACTTAGAGGCAGAAATAATTGCTGTAGAGGGTAAGTTAAAACTGTAATTTATAGCTTTCAGTTCTTGTTATATCATCACTAATTGTCGAACAAAAAATATTTATTATAGATGATCTTCAAAAGTTGYGTACCGTCGAAACAGAGTTTCTGTGCGACAAGCAAAATGCACAYTTGTTTAGCGACGAACCAACGTGCACAGAGGAAATTGCTGGAGTAGGTGAAGATAGTGTTGGCGATAATTCTAATAACGTGGAAGTAAGTTGTAAAGGTTTTACATTTTACCCATAGAATAGCAATATTAAAAAGTTTAGGACGTCCTATGTCATATRCAAATCTAAATGTAATCCATGGTCTCATGCTTTTGGTTTTTAAAATCTCAATGTATAAAACTGACACTGCCTATACTTTTCACAGGACGGTGAACCCAAGAGCAGTAACAAGGACAAAATTGGCACCAAAAGAAAGAAGGTAAGTCTGTTCTTGTAGGTGTTTGATTTAAATCGTAAAGGTAGTTATAAAAAGGTAATATTTTAATAGTCGATATATCTATTGAATGATATAGTCATCAAGTGCCGAGGTACGGCCGAAATCAAAAACGACAAAAGTAAACAGGAAACAAGTAAGTCATGTCTGTTGTATTGTGTTCGACAGTTGATTTTCTTCTTGTTAAAACTTTTTTTAACTATAATTTTTTCAACTATTAAACATAACCTGTTATTAGTTGTTATATAAAGCAACTAGTATGATAATAAAGTACTGTATTGACTTCTTGAATGTATTTATTTGCATAGGGCACAGAAAGAGTAGAAACAAACG